GGGGGGATTATGATGTGGGGTTTTTCAGGGGTTGGGCTTGGCCCCTTAGTTCCTGTGAAGGGAACTCTTAAGGTATCAGCATACCAAGACATTTTGGACAATGTCATGCTCCCAACTTTGTGGTAACAGTTTGGGGATGTCCCCTTCCTGTTCCAACATGACTGCGCACCAGTGAACAAAGCAAGGTCCATAAAAGACATGGATGAGGGAGTTTGGGGCGGAGGAACTTGACTGGCCTGAAAAGAGTCCTGACCTCAACCCGATAGTTTGGAATTACAGACTGCGAGCCAGGCCTTCTCGTCCAACATCAGTACCTGAACACGCAAATGCGCTTCTGGAAGAATGGTCAAACATTGCTATAGACACACTCCTAAACCTTGTGGACATTGTGCCAGAAGAGTTGAAGCTGTTATAGCGGCAAAGGGTGGGCCAACTCAATATTGAACCCTATGGACTAAGACTGGGATGCCATTAAAGTTCATGTGCGTGTAAAGGCAGGCGTCCCAATACTTTTGGTAATAGTGTATGTATAGGGAAAGAAATAAGGTACCAAATGCCAAGTTCTGTTTTCTCACTTCAGAGAAATGAGGAGACATCTTATGCTCTCCTATGTAGTATATAGCCAAATTCCTGTTCTGCAGCTAGATGATTCCCCCACCAGGAGCATATTCCACCAGCACAATACACTCTTCAAACACAAGATTCTCAATATCAATGTCTACACAAGGAACATATTTCATCAAAGCCTAGCTCTTCTCTCTGCCACTCACCCCTCCTCTGTGTGCAGCTCCTGAGATTTCCCTACTCCCTGCACACCTTTAGCAATGCGTGCACCCACAAAATTGCAAAAAACTACCATACCCAACATTGGCCATAGGCGACGCTTTAAAAGCTTTTACTGCTCATCAGTTTAGTGTCCATGATTAATGGTCCTAAAAACTATTGCTCACACTTCCACGTTCGTGGCAATATGCAACATGTGTGGCATAATTGTTGTTTTCTCACATAGGCGCACCAGACGCATGCATGCATGCAGGGTGCCTTCATTTTTACGTTTAAAAAAATTAATATATACACACACACAATTTTTTTTTTTTAGAACTACTTTACTTAACTATTGCCAACACATAGGGGGCTAACAATTCCCCTATGTCATAGCCAATATACAATGATAGGTACTCTTTATGAAGACATCAGGGGTCTCTAAGACCCGTCACCTTGAGACCCCCAAAGAAAATGATGAAGCAGAGATCTGCTTCACCAGCTTCTTCTCTGGCTATAGTAGCCAGAGAAATGACATCTAAAGGCGGAAGTGATGCAATACATATCGCTTCCTCCTTTAGATAGAGGTAGAGACCAGCAGTAGGGAAATACTGATCTCTCCTCACTGGAAACAGCCAACGTGGTGCTCCTGGGCCCGCAAGGGGTACAGCAGAGCTGGGATAACAGGCTGAACGCTTGTATGCAAACAGTCGGTACGGGCTGTTTACATCCACAGAAGGATACAGTACACGCAAGCAGAAAAAAATTACTTACAGGCACCTCCACCCAAGGGAAAGAGTCCGTCCGTGTTTTCACAATAGGCGGACAACATTTTTTAATTTCTTCAATACTAATACTTGCAGCGTAGTCCTTGTTCTCTTCTGGTTATCTCCATTACCTGCTCAGCACTCCACACTTTGGGCACCTCCTCCATTTTACCCCCCGTCACCCCTCTGGTGGGTTGTACTCTGCCTATTGTGTTCAGATGTAGTTTTGTAAAATCACCATTGCCCCGTCTTTCTTTTTATCTAATGTTCGAAACTTTCTGCTCTTTTGGGCTTTTCTCCATCTCTGCATTGTGCCTTCCTATATCCTAGGTCCATGGGTCAGGAATACCCATGATGCCTATCTAGGTCTATGAAGTAAACCTTTAGAGAAATCTGAAGGCTGCCAAAACAGCTTCTCTTCTGAACAAGCTTGTTCCTTGGAGGATGCATGCTTGTTCTGGATGAAGGCCAGGTTCCCACCATTTACAGGACCAAATCTGGAACGCGTTGCATTCCATTTTACCACAATTTTGCAGCATGCGAGCAGTTTAAGCTTAAAATGGGTTTTCAGGTGCAGTCCAGTGCGTTCAAAGCGTTTACATGCGTTCCAGTGCATTCCAGACCAGAGAAAAATGAGACAAGCAGTATTGGTTTTGTCTGGTCCGGAATGTACTATGCTGGTGTGAACAGAGCCCAGAAATACCATTAGCAATACATTGGGATGCTTTTTTGGTCTGGGACCAAACTGTTCTGCTCTGGACATGATCCAGGCATGGTGTGAACAAGCGTTCACATACGGCTGATCACTCAGTTCATGATCTTCTCCTTGGAGAGCAGTGGCTGCCAGTCATCGCTCCCTCCAGGGATTCTCCCCTCCCCGTTCCTCCAGCGTTGACTGGAGGAACGGACAGGGCAGGGTGCGGACACAGCTGGCTCTGCCTCTATAGAGGCAGAACTAGTTGTCAGACCGGGGGGTGGATCCCGACAATATCTGTCCTGACTGCAGCACAGTTCTGCACTGTCTGCATATAGCAGGCAATATAAGCTGAGTTTTGGTCACAGGAGGACTTAAGTATATGTTCTCCTGTGACTATTGCAAAAAAAAAAAAGGTGTCAGTTTTTAAAATATTTATTTCATAATCGTCCATTAAGGGACACAGGAATTCCTAGACTGTTGGGTTATACTGCCGTCTACAGCAGAAATGGACACGGACAAAAAAAAAAAAAAGCCAGCACAGGATAACCCCCACCCACAACCATCATACCTCAGTTTTTGCTAGTGTCCTCAGAAAAGTGGACATGTTTTCTTCAGCTCTCTGTGTTTGGAAGATTTCTACCATCAACAGCTAGCTGGAGGTCAATTCAAGCCAAATATATGAAAACCTGAAAAGTTTCGCCAGTCAGCCAAGGGTGCTGGTAGATTCCTGCATAGTTAGCTAAGTGCAGGTTTTCCCAGGTTTATACCAGTGATTCTTCTGCGAAAGACCCTGAATTTCTGGAAGTTTCTATGGTCATCTACAGCTACTGATGAATTCAGCACCGGATATGGAAACCCTGGACAACTCTCCAGCTAGACCAGCAGCACAGGTTCCCAGTTCATTACCTATACTGGTGTTCCCTCTGCGACAGGCCTGCAGTTGGCAGTGACTAGCGTTTGTGTTCCAGGTCACACAGAACTCCACTATTCAGGACAGTATATCGGGGTATTCCTTATGCATGCGTCAGTCCAGAGCAGAGCTGAGGCAGTTTTCACTGACACCCATCACTGGAAACTCACCTTCATGAGTATAAGTGGCAGGCTAATGCTGTGTTGGGATTCTTCCCTATATTGTGTCTGAATCAGAGGCACAACTGTCAAAATTGACTTTCACTTTGTGAATGATTTTTTTCCTTACCTACTCTGCATCTTACTACTGGCTTTATTCAGAACCTTGTATTTTACATTAGTGTCACTGATGTTTCTGGTTCCTCCTGGTTGCTCAGGCTTGCTGGGAAGCTCTTTTTCCGTTCCTCCTCCTTCCTGGTTGCGGATGTAGTTTTCACCCAGTAAGATGCGGCAGCGCTCGTAAAAGCTACACAGAGGGCAGGCATTGGTGACACTAATCTAGGTGCCTGGGGCACCTAGATTAGTGTCTGCCTCTCTCTTTCTTTGAATAAAGGTGGCCATACATTGTACGATTTGATGGTAAAGCGCCGATTTTCTGTTTTGATATTGTAATTGAAATATATTTCGATCGGTCAGGTTGGAAAATTGTTCTGACCGAAAAAACTATTAATTTGTGGGGTTTTCGTTTGTCAAAAATCTTAGCAAGAACAGAGCACATGCGCAAAAGAAAAAACGATTTCCGTCGTTCGTCAAAAATGTATTGGTTAGTATGGCTAAAGGATGATTTTCGAAATCGACACTTGACCATGCTTGATGGGGAAGTTCAGGTATAAACGAATGAGGGTTCATGCCAGAAACAAAACATTTTGAACGAAAATCATACAATGTAGGGCCACCTTAAGGAAAACAGCACAGATTCAGCTCTTGAACACATTATACCCAATGTATGCTTGTCAAACACTATGCCATACCATTAATGCAGTGGATGGGCTATCTGGTGTTGTAAACAGAATTGCAGTTGGTACTGTTGCTGCTCAAAATTGACAGGCAGCTCATTTCCCATTCATGCCTATAGCAAACCCTCCTAAGCACCCTCGGCTAAAAAAAGTCACTCAAAAAAAGCTCAGTTTCCTGTGGCTATTGTTAAGCAGCTGTAGATTTTTAAAAATGCCATCTCCTACTGTCAGATCTTATTTGGGGAGTTTAGCTTTTAAGTCTCTCCTGGTTAATGTGTTCCCCTGCAGCTTCACATGCCCTGACACAGATGTTAAGTGCTCTCCCTGTCGCTCAAGTGACCAGTGCTTTTTCTACAGCCACTGTGTTTGCCGCTATGCATTTCTTTTTAGTTACCAGTGCATTTTAAAATGTAAGCAAAAATGGACCATTACCTTGTCCTACATTGAGTACTAAGGAATACTCCACACTGCTGTATGCCCTATACGCCTACATGGTTACACTGCTGTACATTGTGTACTCCGCACCTTCATTAGGATGAGCACAAGGGGAAATCCTAACTGGCAGACTTTGCTAGTTACATTTTCCCCACAGCTGTATAAAATTAAATAACTGCAAAATAAAGCATTAAAAGTCTCTAGAGGATATCTGTGACAACTGCAATCTGTAAGGTGTTAAAAAAAAAAAAAAAAGGAAACGGACATTATAAAAGATAGCTTACCTCTAGCTGGTATCTGCAATGGCGGTGTGGATGTTGATGTTGAAGAGGAGACTAAAGCGTTTTGCAAAACCTCCTGTTCCAGTGACTTCTGGGGAACAGCAGGTGTGCCTTTCATACTACTATAAGACTTAGATTCTTTATTTCCTGGGGTGGGTTCAAGAGGCTGCTCGTCTTCCTCCAAATTTTGAGTCTTTGAAGGATTGAAACTGAAACCAAACAATGTCCCGGCTCCAGAAGAATTTCCAAAAGTAAAAGCCTTCTTCTCTGTGCCAAAGATATTTTTCACTACTTCAGACCCAAATACAAACTTGGGAGGAGACACCACATTTTTGGGTGGCGATTTTTCTGATGAGCTTACTGCATCAGATTCTGCATCCAATTCTGCCCCAGAAGCAGGTGTTACAGCTGGGAAATCAGTTTTTTCCTTTGTGGTTTCTTCCAGAATGGCCACAGCAGCCTTTCCACATGGTGAAGCCTTTGGTGTGGTGACACGTGCAGAAAATGGGGGGAGCAAGCTGTCTGTTGACTGTGCAAACTTGGCTTCTTCATAGACATCCCTGAACAGGTCTGCAACCTCCTGATGTTTAAAACGCACAGCAAATAATTCTATTTTGCCTTCACCTTCAGCAAAGTCGTGTGCAGTCCACACCCATGCTCTCTCAGCCCCTTTCATTGGCTCCAGGTGTATGTCTGGTGTGACACGTTGGTTAGCGCACAATTTTAACACTTGATCTCTTCTCATTACTATTCGAGCTGATTTGTTGTCATAGTTCTGTAAAATCTTTAGGTCACCAATACCCCGCTCTTTCCACTGATTAATATCTTTATCAAACCTGTAAAGCTTAGCTCTGTGGCAGAAAAGTGTCTGCTCATTTTCTTCTCCGCTGGTGATTTCAATAAGATCCGGCAAAGGCACAACAGGCTCAAAGTACTGACCATCACGTTCTTCCTCCTGTGTCACATCGGATTCCTCATCAGTACCTACAGAAGTTCTGCTTTGGTTTAATTTTGTTGGTGACTTTGCTGGACTTGGTGCAGGCTGAAAGCTAAAGTTAAAGCCTACAGTAGATTCTCCAAATCTAAAAAGATCACCTTTTTCAGGACTATTTTCTAGAGGAGATGCATATATGGAATCATCCAAATTGCCATCCAGAGAACCAGGCCGCATGTCATATGTATCCCACTCATAACTGGGTTCAGTGCATTCAGAGGTTTTCTTTAAGAGACTTTCAGAAACCCTAAGATTTGAATCCCCTTCAGCGGGTTTACTCTTATCCGTTAAAAAGGTTTTCAGATCTTTAAGACCAGTTTTCATTTCTTCTGCTTTCTTGATTAAGTGTGCAGTCCTCCCTGTATCTACGAGCTTATGGGGTGTCTGCAGAGGTATATCCAACAACAGGCGCTGGCACTCTTCAAATTTGCTTTTAAAGTCATCAGCTTGTTCTGGTGTTTTAAACTTTGCTGCTAACTGTTGTAATTTTGCATCCCCATCGGAAAAGTCATTAGCCATCCATATCCAGGCACGGTCAGAGCCAGACAATCGTTTTAGGTGCATGGTGGTTGTGATCCAGTGGTTTGCACATACTTTCAGCACTTGTTCTCGTCTCATAAGAATTCGTAGCTTCCCATTTACTTCATTTTTAAGAATCTTGAACATGCCAACTCCACGCTCTTTCCACTGGCTGCTGTCTGGATCAAACCGATATAATTTCACTCTCTGAGAATAAAGTATTTTCTCATCTTCTTCCCCTGTCACTATTTCTACTTTATCAGGAAGCTGCACAACAGGCTCAAAATGGATATCGTCACGATCCTCTGTCTTGTAAAGCTCTTCTGTAACCTCTTGCTCCGCAGGGGTGTTTGCTGGGTCAACTTTATCACTTTTAGATACAAACAGTTTTTCACCAGCACCAGAAAATCCTTTAAAATAAGGGTCTTTTCTACCAAAAGCAAACCCTTCTGAAGAAGATATGGCTAGATCAGCAAAAGAAAAGCTGTTAGCAGTGTTTTCAAACATCTCACCACTTTGTTTTTGCTTATTTTCCTCATACTGCTCCCCAGTTTCAGCTGATGGAACATCTATGTTATCACCCAAAGCAGCCTTCAAAAGTGGAGCAGCTTCTTTCACCTGTTCAAATGCATTTCCCTCACCAGTGCCAAATGTAAAAGAAGTAGAGCTGAAAGGCATTGTAAAGCTGAATCCCTCTTTGGAAGGTTTAGTATCTTCATTTGCACTTGGTTTGAAACCGAAGGATGATTTATCATCATCTGCTGTACCAAACTTAAAGTCTTTGCCAGTGAAGTTGGATTTAAACCCAGTGGAAGGTGGCCCAAAGGATTCAGAACCTGCTTTAATCCCAAATGTAAAGGCTGGCTTTACCTCAGTTGTTGCAGTGTCACTTTTTGCATTGGGGTTAGCAGACTGGCAGGCAACACATGTGGCTGCTGAAGCTTCATTTCTGACTAAACACACAGTGCAATCCCACTGTCCCTCCTTTCGTGAAAACATGGTTCCCAAGCTTTCATTCTGACTCTTGCTGGAAGTAAACCCAGATGTCTGCGCTGGAGGACCAGTTGCATTGCTTTGTGGTTTTGGGCTTTCACAAGCAACACATTTTGAAACATTGGCTTCATTCCTAACCAAACAAGTACTACAGTCCCATGATCCTTCCTTCTTTGCAAATAAACCCCCAAAATCTTTTTGTGAATTAATTTCAGGAGCAACAAACTTGAAAGATGATGCAGATGTTGCTGTAAAGGCTGGCTTTACCTCGGTTGCTGCAGTGTCACTTTTTGCATTGGGGTTAGCAGACTGGCAGGCAACACATGTGGCTGCTGAAGCTTCATTTCTGACTAAACACACAGTGCAATCCCACTGTCCCTCCTTTCGTGAAAACATGGTTCCCAAGCTTTCATTCTGACTCTTGCTGGAAGTAAACCCAGATGTCTGCGCTGGAGGACCAGTTGCATTACTTGTTGGTTGTGGTTTTGGGCTTTGACAAGAAGCACATTTTGAAACATTGGCTTCATTCCTAACCAAACAAGTACTGCAGTCCCATTGTCCTTCCTTCTTTGCAAACAAACCCCCAAAATCTTTTTGTGAATTACTTTCAGGAGCAACAAACTTGAAAGATGATGCAGATGTTGCTGTGGTCTGTGCACTGGCAGGATTCGGAGCTTGGCATGCAGCACACTTTGTTGCAGATGGCTCATTCCTTATTAAGCATACATCACAATCCCACTGCCCTGCTTTCTTCACAAAGGCTGACCCTAATGAAGCACCCTGTGAAACTGCAGTATTCTTAAAACCTGTGACACTTTGAGGGATTGCGAACCCACTACTGCTCTGATCTGAAGGGTGACAACGAACACACTGTTTGTTTGCAGTGTCATTCATAGTGGAACACTTACTGCAGGCCCACTGGTCTTTGCTCCTTATTGGGTGCTCTGCAGAGAGGGTCTTGCTTGTTAAAGTATCTTTACTAAACGTGAAAGCAGAAGCTGACATGTTTAGAGAACTTTTTCCAGGGTTTGCGGTTTTTGTATCTTGTGCTGAAGAGCTAACTTGAGATCCAAAGGAAAAACTTTGTGGGGCCGCAAAACCTGCCTTTATAGATTCCTTTTCAACTTTAGGTTTTGGAGCATCAATGCTGCCATCTGTAGTTTGCAGTAATTTTTGGGCTTTTTCAAATTTTTCTTTAAAAAGTTTAGCCTCTTCAGCAGTCTTAAAGCGAATTGCAAGTTGCTCCGATTTGGGCATTTCATCAGCATAATCATAGGCGTGCCACACATAAGATTTGTCAGATGAGGCAAGTGGTTTCAGTTTCATATCTGGAATTATTAAATGGTTTGCACAAATCTTCAGCACTTGCTCTCTTCTCATAAGCAGGCGTATCTTACCAGACACACGATGTCTTAGGATCTTAACATTTCCTACACCTCTTTCCTTCCATTCTCTTGTGTCTGTGTCAAAACGGAAAAGTTTTGCTCTGTTGCAGAACATCTCCTCTTCATCTTCCTCACCAGTTTTCACTTCAATCTTCTCTGGTAATGGCACTACAGGTTCAAAATGAGGTCCATCTTCTGCTACATATTCACTTCCTACATCAGATTCATGACTTTTATTGTGGTCTTTTGTTGGATGGCCATAAGTTGACTTAGCAGAACTTTGGAAACTAAATATGTTATCACCTTGGCCAAATGTTGCACTATTTTCTTGTGTTTGATTTGATCCCTCTGGGAGGTTATTCAAAAAATTCTTCTCACCAAACCTAAACATGTTCCTTGAATCAGTGTTGGTCTCATAAGGCGTGGATTGTATTCCCTGATCACTTACGGGTTTATCAGATGTCAGGAGCCGCAGCAAACATTCACTACCATTAGTAGCTGGTGTTCCACCTTGATTAGAGGAAAATGTAAAGTCTCCATCATTTGATTTGAAGTTTGAATTAAATTTAAACGTAGGAGTTGACTGTAAAGGTGTTGTAAATGGAGAAGGTTTGGGACCCTCACTTTGTATTGGTTGAACAAAGCTGTTCTTTCCAAAATCTCCTTTGGCTGGTTGAGTGCCCAGAGCAGCCTTTGTGAAATACCCTGGCTCAGGAAGCGTGGGAGTTGCAGTGTTTTGTGGCAAGTTGTAGTTGTAGTATTCATCAGTTTGGGGAGACAAAATATTTGTTGCAGGCGATTCAAAGCGAAGGGCATGGCCACATATTGCAGAATTAGGAACTGGTGGCGTATGCATAGCATACATGTGCTGCTGAGTTGCCATTCTGGTCCCTGGATAAACAGATGTCTGTGGGGACAAGAAATATATTGAGATGTGAATTATTCTATGATGCAAAATGTTATTACAAAAAAACTTCCAACATTTTAGATTAGTCTTGCCAATGCTCAAACTCAAGAGCCGTGAGCCGAGCCGTGAGCCGACTTCATGGACTGAAGACAGAGGAGATGAGCACTGAGCCTAGAGCTGCTCTACTCAATTCACTTTATGATGGTCATACAGTTATAATATTGGTTATTTAGCAAGAGCTAACAGTTTAGAACTCCAGGCAGAAATTTGATTGATCCTTGCATTGGGGCTACACCTGCACTGCAAGTGTTAACTGCTCATTTTAGCTTAGGAAGGGAGGTTACACTCACCTGGATCCTCTGAGCTGGCAGCACTCCCTCCAGCCTCTCTCCCCCAACGCTGCAGTGACTATGTCCCTCTACGTCCTCATGTCCAATACACTGCATTGGACTGATAACATAAGGATTCCCAGACTGCTGCAGAGGGGGAGAGATGCTCCAAGGACAGGTCTAAATGCTGGCCGGCTGGGGATCAGGTGAGCAACTTTTTTTTTTTTTTTACACCCTAGGCAAAAACTAGCAGTGAACCCTTGCAATGCAGGGGTAAGTCCCACTGGAAGAGTTAATAAAATGTATGCCCGGAGTTATTCTTTAAGGCTCCTTTTGCCGCACAGAGACTTCTGGCTCCCGCCAGATGAATGATTAGTGGCACCATTGTCCGATTGAATACGAAGACCTTCCAGTAGGATGGTCTAATGCTGCAGTCACTGCAAAACTATTTGAGGGGTGCGTGTTTACATGCTGATGTTACAGGGGAACCAGAAAACTGCAAGCAAAAAAGTTTGTGAGAACGCTAGAATATTGTGCTGATATTGGATAATGATCACTTCACAACAAGCGAGTGGTTTTATACAGTATTTGAATAAGTCGTTTTAACTTACTATACACTATTGGAGCCTTTATGATTTTCTTTTATGAGCTAATATGAGGCATCATTAGAGCCATGGCAGGGAGGAACCTTGCACATCGATATAAAAGGCCAACCATCTAAATAAAAAGGTGTTGTCTGACATGGGAGGAGGATTGTTCACCACTTACATTGAACACCATATTGAATTATTGCACTAAAGCACTTTACAGCAGGTTTAATAACAGACTATTTATTGATTGAATACAGCCACGGATTGATTTATAATTTTTTTTTTTTACCTTTTGCATTCTTTGCACTTGTATATTGACTGAAATCCCTTTGTGACTATAGCACTATTTTATAAAGAGGGGGTTGTATGCATTTTAGGATAGCATTTAATATACTTTAGCTTTTTTGGATATTAATATATTTGGAGGATATCATTCTAATACAGTGCAAACTCCGCATCGGGTGACGAACACAACTGCAGCCATCTTCCCTGTTCTGACACATGGTCGTGGCTTCCTCTAGTGGAGATCGCGGTCCGATCAGTTTGATTCGGTTCGCGACCAGAATCGTGGAACAAATTAAGTTTGTGATCTGAGGTACCACTGTATTTATGCATTTCTACAACGTTTATTGTTGTAATATTGTTATAGAGTGCATTATAGATGATTTTTAGACACATGAGCAGTGAACCCTTGCAGTGCAGGGGTAGCCCCA